GGTTATACTAATTTACCTTGCATCTAATGCTTTTGAGGCCTCAAGAATTTGATATATTAACCATACATTTGGCTGCCACATGCATTTAAATGATTCCCAAATATGTATGTGCACATTCTCTCCAGTCCTGTGCTACCAGTTACCTCCAGCATGATTTTACTTGGACATCCAGCCAAAAGTTGAAATTTAACATGTTGACAACCAAATTCTTTTACTGCTTGCCAATTTCCCCATTAGTATTCATTGCAATAAAAGCTCAAGTAACTTCCATGCTCAGAGCAATTTTCTGGGCTCTCTGAGGAATTGAAGACATGTAAGACCTCACTTTGAACTCTTAAGAGACCTCAAGTCTAATGCACTAGACTTGGCTGCATGGTGGATTCTCCCTGAAGAAACTTAAATATACGGATGCTCAGGCCCCATCCTAGACCAACTAAATCAGAAGAGCACCTGAGGGGCATCTGGGTGGCTCAATTGGTTAAACATCCGATCCTTGATTTGGGCTCAGGTCATGATCTCACAGTTTGTGAGATCCAGCCACTGTACTGACAGTGCAGAGCCTGCTTGGGATTGTCTCTCTCTGCCTCTGTCTGCCCCTCCCCTGCTTGCGCTCTCGCTCTCTCTCTCTCTCTCTCTCTCTCTCAAAATAAATAAATAAACATTTAAAAAGAAAGAAAGAAAGAAAAGAACCTGAGCTAGAGATGTAATTATTGAATCTTCACGGTCTTAGCTTGGGCTGCTATAACAACATACCGTAGACTGGGGTAAACAGCTGATATTTATTTCTCAGAGTTCTGGAGGCTGGGAAGTCTAAGATCAAGGTGCCAGCAGACTTGGTTCTTGATAAGGACCCTCTTCTGGGCTAGCAGACCACAGCCATCTTACTAAGTGCTCACATGACCCCTTTTTGTGTTGTGCATGTCGGGGGGGGGGTCCCACTGTCATGACCCAACCTAAACCTGGTTACCTTGCAAAGGCTCCACCTTCAAATACCATTACTTTGGGGGTTAGGACTTCCATAAATACATTTTAGGAGGAACACTGAACATTTGGTCCATAATATTTACTCTAGACCACACGTTGGCAGTCAATCACCAAATAAGCCAATATTTCCTCTGGAAAAAATCTCTTCCTTTTTCTTGACATTTATCATCCCCTATTCAAAGCCCTTACTACTTTAGAGAAACAATAATAACTATCACTACCTGAGGAACCAGGCTACAGATTTTACATATATCGTTGTATTTGCTCTAATCCTTATTAAAACTGTAGGGAAACACACAACAATACAGTTAGCAAGAGAGAAGGAGGATCAGGCTCCAAAACCAGCGACGGCCATCACCTTTATGCTCTACTTTCTCCATCCTTTCTTTTTTCCAGTCCATCTTGTACTAAATCCCCCAAATGATGTTCCTCAGCAACCTGCAGCACTTTCCTACTCTGCTGAAGAACCTGTATTACCTGCGGCTGCTGAATTTGCTCTCTGGTTTTCAGTGTGGCTTTCAAGGGCATCAATCTTCAGACCCTTCCTCATACTGCTAATTGTATTAATTGTATTCTCCAAGCAAACTCCCTCAGGCCAGCTATACTGAACTTTTTATGGATGTAGGCTACTTGTTTGAAATAGAAGAGTAAGAAAAATTCATAACCTGAACTACCAGCCTCTGAGAATAAATGGAGTACATTATTAATACCAACTCATTCATATATTACGGACTCATTGGTCCTACATGCAGATCCATATAATGCCTGCCTCCCACTCCAAGTACAGCCTAGGCCCCAAGTGATGTCTGACTTCTGTTTGGTAAAGGAATTCACTCTTATCAGGTGTTGCCATTTCCCTCACTCACACCACAGGTCTTCTAATGAACATGGCCTCTGCTCTGCTCTGCTGGACACCACGCCCCCTGCTGGCACACCTAGGCTACTCCACTGTGCCCGAGTTTGTCAATATCTGGGCACATTCAGCAGAGCACACCCCCGATGTGCTAAAGCCCTTAAGGTGCCTTTAGTCTGTGTCCCTGGATAAGATGGAGAATGCCTCTCTTCTGTGCATTACATTCTTTTGTTGGAGAACTTCTGGGGTTCCAATGTTGCGCTTCATTTTAAGACTCTTCCGCCTGTCAATTTTTTGAGTCTAGTTGAGTTGGGATGAGGAGGCAATATGAGTGCCAGTCACTATGCTCGAGTTGGGATCATCTTTCCTCCAGAGACCACTGCTCTGTTGCAGACTGGGCTCTTGTTCTTTGGCCTCTTCTCTTAAAATGCATGTTTTCCGGGAGCATTCATTCCATGTTCCCCCAACCTCCACCCAGGTATACATCTGTCTGCCCACCACACCCACCTATCTGAGCTGGAAACCTTCTAGGCTTAATGAGAGTCCCCACTTACCTAATTTGCATATATTTTTTTAAGTTTTACTTTTATTTAAGTAGATCTCTATACCCAATGTGGGGAGCAAACTCACAACCCCGAGATCGAGAGTCACATGCTCTTCTGACTGAGCCAGCCAGGTGCCTCTACTTCTGAACATCTTATTGGTCCCATTTGAAATATTTTCTTACCCAATAATGATCTTCATTATGACCAAGAACCCACCAAGTCTAATTATTCCTTGTGCCCTGGTTTTGCACTATTCCTGGTGGTTTACAGTAACTGTTCTGTGGTAACTTTCTCACTGTTGTAGATGACTCCCTCCCTTTTAGACATTTGTTACTTCAATCTATTCACATACAGTTATTACATCAGTCTTCTGAAGATAATTCTTTGATAATGCCAGCAATCTTTAATTGCTCCCATTATTTATTATTTATTTGTTTTTTTGAAATTTATAGTTTGAGAGAGAGAGAGAGAGAGAGAGAATCCCAAGCAGGCTCTGCGCTGTCAGCACAGAACCCAATGCAGGGCTGGATCTCACAAACCATGAGATCATGACCTGACCCCAAACCAAGAGTCAGATGCTTAACCCACTGAGCCACTCAGTTGCCCCAAGGAAATTTCCTTCTAAGTCACTGAGAATTTTTATAAGTGAATTGAATTTTTACCAAATTCTATTGAAATGATCATATGATGTATCTTTTCTAATCCATTATTGCAAAGGATTCCAATAGATTTCTTAATTAAAAAAAAATTTGTACTCTGAAATTGCCTCCACTTTCTCACGATTTATTTCTTAACACATGAATTTAAATCTATTTCCTTTCTCCTATTGCAAAATTTCCATTCTCATTGATACCAATATAATCACTCACTTGCTTTTTCCACATCACATGCAACAGTCTTAGAATCATAATATGAACAAAATAGTATCACCATCAATGTGATTACTGAAAAAAGTTTATGATTTTGTTTTTGCAGTTCCTTTTGTCCTAAGATATATAAAATTCACAATTGTCACTTAAAGCCTGAGTAAGCTGAAATTGACAGCTGTGAAATGTTTTCAGACTTTCATTGCACCCTTAGATTAAAAAAATTTTTTGATCATGTGCTACATTTGAGCTATTGGATATAAGAAACTATGGGCACACATTTATTGAGAACTTCCTATTTCGCTGTTTCTCAAACTCATATTTGATGTATTTCATTAATGAAATGTCTGGGATAAATGATCCAGAATGACCCATATTTATGAATACTGAGACTTTACAAAGTATGACCAGGAGACTGTTATGCTAAGTGAAATAAGTCATGCAGAGAAAGACAGATACCATATGTTTTCACTCTTATGTGGATCCTGAGAAACTTAATAGAAGACCATGGGGGAGGGGAAGGAAGGAAAAAAAAAAAGAGAGGGAGAGAGCAAAACCATAAAAGACTCTTAAAAACTGAGAATAAACTGAGGGTTGATGGGAGGTGGGAGGCAGAGGAGGTGGGGAATGGGCACTGAGGATGTCACCTGTTGGGATGAGCACTGGGTGTTGTACGGAAACCAATTTGACAATAAATTTCATATTAAAAACTAAATAAATAAAATAAAAAGTATGACCAAATTTTCCACTGCTACCCCAACAATTTTCCCCAAATCATCCAATCAAAGAACATATACTATAATAGAGTCTTTCTAAGACCATTTTTCTGAGACTCCCCTTAGCTCCCCGTGGTGTGTGTTCCCTTTTGCTGCAATAAATGGTAAATGAAACTTCTCAATTCTTGGTATATTCTTGGTTTTAAACGTTCTGACAGAAACTAAAAGATGTATCAACCAATGGCAATGGATTATATTTTGGTCCTGATTTTAGGAAAATTAATATCTATTAAGACAGAAGAAATTTGAACACTGGATATTTGGTATTAAGGAATTGCTTTTTTTTTTAAGGTTAAATAACGTTATTGTGGTCAGTGTTTTTCTTTTTTCCCCCAAAGACTAGTTGTTGTTGCTTTTTTCCTAGAGATACATGCTTAAATACCTACAAATGAAATAAATATTATGTCTGATATTTGCATCCCTGGGGGAAGAAGAGGTTAGAGCTATAGACAATCGAGACTGTCAAAATGTCACCAGTTGTTAAAGGTTGTTAATGAGTAAGGTAATTATTCTACTCCTCTACATGATGGAAATTTTACAAAAGTCTTTAAAAAAAATAAATTTTTTTAGGAGTGTGCAATATTGTAAGATCAAAGAAAAAGCCATGGCATGGCACCCCAAGGGTGAAGCATTAACTGTTCAGAAAGCTCGGGCTTTCTCTTTTATCCTCCACACCAGAATTGAGGCTGCTAAATAGGTGCTCCTAAAAGTCTCAGGCAGATTAATGTCTGAATTAAGTGAAATTGTATGTAGAACCCACACGTGCAGGAAGCTATGATTAACAGGCCCCTTTGACATCATCCCACCAGCTACTTCGTTCCCTCCCTACTCATTGAACTCCATCCCCGAGTCTCAGCACACATCCAAGATGGTGGGTCATGACAGTGAAACAGGTCAGCGATGCCTCCCAGAGCGTGAGTTGGCGCCGCGCTGCGCAGGCGCATTTCTGCTTCCCTCCCCGACCTTGGCGGATCGCGCCTGCGCGGTGGGGAGCTGCTCGCGGCTCCCGCTCGGCCTTGGGCTGGCTGCAGTCTCAGTTTGAGGGCGGCCGAAGTGGCTGGCTCGATTAAGATGAGGTTTCTGCTAGTTCTCCTGGTGGCGGCGTCGGCGGTGATCCGGAGCGATGCCTCGGCCAACCTGGGCGGCGTGCCTAGCAAAAGATTAAAGATGCAGTACGCCACGGGGCCGCTGCTCAAGTTCCAGATTTGGTGAGTATGTGCGCCGGGCCCCGGCAGTGCCGCCGCGCCTCTGCTCGGCCTCTGTCGCCAGGCGAGGCCCCGGCTCTGCGGCCTAGCGGGCTGAACCTCCCCCTTGGCCCGGAAGAACGGCGCCAGCAGCCTTCCGCAGCTTGCCTTTTCAGAGGGCCTTCCTGGGACTGTCAGGCTGCCCTTCTTTTCTCCAAGTATAACCGCTCACTTCGCTCAGTTCTTTTTTGCCTCCTGAATGGTGGGAGTGGGGAAGGAGGGCAAGGGAAGGTTAAATACTGAAAGGCGAAGAGGTGGGGACAGTTGTCAGTACGGAGGACCGGTTGGCGGCGTCACGCCATGGCCACCCTGGCTGCTTGCGGAGGTGGGCACGAGTTGGCGCAGCGTCGGTGGAGGAGCTCCAGCGTTTGCCACCCGGTTCCCTTTTCCTCTCCCCTTTCTCGGGGTTCTGCCGGGCGCCGTCGCTGCGCCGCTGGGCGAAGGTTAATTCGGGTCGTTGGAGGAGACCCACGAGGGATAGACGCCTTTTCTGCTGGACCTTCCCCGGTCGACTGTTGAGTGAGGGAGTGGGGATTCTGACAGCTGGAGGGCGAGGAGAGGTCCTGGGAGGCCGATTCTCAGTTTGCAATTTTCAAAAGGTCTTTGAAAAGGAGCACGTTGCTCTTCTGACAACGGTCACTCCCAAACAACTCTTATCTTTCTCCCCCATTCCTCTACAGCCCCCTCCCTGGAGTTGCCTGACCTGGCATGTCTTTCTACCTTTCTATCTTATGCATTCAGATAAATAGAAAAACAAAACAAAACAAAAAAAACAAAAGCAAAAACAAAACCCTGAACCAGAAAAAAAAAACCTGGCATTTGTCGACGTTGTTCTTTCTGTGATTTTGTTGTTACCTAGTTAAGTTAGAACTTGAGCAATAATGCATGTAATAAGGTAACTGGGTTGGGGGAGACTGAAGGGCTAAACTAAAATAGTAAAATTGTAGAAATTAGAATCCTGTATCACAAAAGATTGTATTTTCTTCAGGATAGGATGGTTAGGTAAGTAAATTTTCAGAGTCATGGTACTTTGGAGTGTTGGTGTTGGCCATAATGCAGTTAAAATTGGCTTTTCAAAACTTTATTAACGTAAGTGTATTAAAGGTTAGATTTTCTGCATACCCAGCCGGGTTTTTTTGTTTTTTTTTTTTTTTTTTTGCTTAATCTTTAAAGAGTACGCAAATACTTAAAATTTTAAAATTCAGTTTAAGTGACCCATAGAGTCTGAAAGTGAGATGTTGAGACTTTATTTTGGAGTGAAAACTATAAAAACCTAGAAGTTTCTTGCTTGAAAACAACAACAAACTCCTTGAACTGTTTACTGTGTGGCCAGCATATATCATTTTCTGTAACGTACTGTAAAAACTGTAAATGGAAGTTATGGCTTGACCATTCCAACTTTTTCCATAATTTTTAAAAATTAGAGAGTGGCAGTCATTTTTACTATCTGTAATTATTGTTAAGGATTAAGTGTGAAACTTTGGATGGAAGTAGTTTAAAAAAGAGTGCAGTTTCCAAGTTATGTAATTTTTCTCTTTCCTACTTTTGCATCTCTTGGTTTCACTTGTACTTTTCCAAAATACTCTTCTTTTACAATTGCTTCTGTTGGGATACTTGTCACAATAATTAAAAAAATTTTTTTTAAATGTTTATTTATTTTTGAGACAGAGAGAGACACAGCATGAGCAGGGAAGGGGCAGAGAGAGAGGGAGACACAGAATGTGAAGCAGGCTCCAGGCTCTGAGCTGTCAGCACAGAGCCCGACGCGGGGCTCGAACTCACGAACTGTGAGATCGTGACCTGAGCTGAAGTCGGACGCCCAACCGACTGAGCCACCCAGGCGCCCCTTTGTCACAATAATTTAACAAGTGCACCTTCCGCTGAGGATGTTCATAGCAAAGTTTTCAAAATGTTCTGGGAAGAGCATCCATTTCTTCCTCTCAACTTTTTAAAAATTTTAGGTACTTCATTTGATTTTGTGATGCATAATTTTTTTTTCATTCTTTTTCTTTCTTTTAAAGTACAAACTTGTCCCAAAAGTCTAATAAGAGTTTTCTTTTTCAGTAACCCAGAGCATGTTATGTATGGAAATCAGTTTTGTTTGGTTTTAGTCATACATAGGAAACAATTTTATTAGTATGCCCTCCATATACAGGTAAATTAGCTTGTTGTTTGTTACTTTTTCCCCAAGAGGTTAATCTGTGTATAGTAAATTGAATATTGGGTTTCTTGTTTTGGCAGAATCTCTTGGACATTCATTTGCAGTTTTGGGAGAGGAGAGGAAGCTAAAACGATTGAGGCTAAATCTGTGAAAATTCTTTGAATTCTCCTTGAAATTTAAGTGCTGTAAAAGGCAATTTTTCACTAATTACCACTATTAACAAAGGAGAGAACTATTTTTACCTTACTTTCAATTGCTTTTGTCTTCCTTTATATTTATTATGAGTGCTCTCTCTTTAACTGTAGCTCAGTATATCATTCGTTAATTGTACCACTTTTATAATTGCTAAAGAACAAAACAGCACAACACATGTGAAATTAAAGGGAGAGAGATCAGTGTGCAGAATAGCTTAAAACAAAGTTTACTATTCTACATTCATGTACTTTTTCAGTAAATATTCATTCAAGACTTGTTTGTACCAGGGCTAAAGATACCATGGTGAACAATATAGATGTGATCCCTCATGAAACTTCCAGAAATGCGCAGTATTACTTTATATACATACGTAAGTCTTCAGTTTATGTTAATTGACGGAGTGACAGAATTAGATAAGTTTGATGACAACTGATTTCTTATTTTGGGAGAAAACTTATCTTGCTTATTTGGATGTTTAAACATTGAACGTAAAAAAAGAAAGTTCTCTAATCAGAGCTTAAAATAAAGTTCCCTTGTAACATTTTCCTTTCTTGTGACTTTTATGAATAAATGCATTCTGTATGTGAATGTATTCTGACAGGTACCATTTGGCATGATGTTTTTATATGCATGCTTTATTTTTTTCATATTTGAGATTTAACATGTAGTCAGACCTACAGCATTTAATCACTTGTAATTTAAAGAGCTTACTGGCTACAGCTCTTTACAGTTAATACTTCTCTGAGTATTTGACAACTGATTCACTAAGAATAGTAGATTAAATAAAGCTGAGATTTCAAAATGTAAGCAGAGTGCAGCAGAATTTTCTAATTTTGGTTAATTTAAGAATCCACTGCTATAATTTTAGGACAACCAACACACAGTATTTTTTAGAGGTAAATGAAACAACTACTACAAGAACAGATTTGTATTTAAATTTATATCAACTCAGCCTTTGCTTTCATGGTATGGAGGCAAGAAAATAAAGCCCTAAGACTGATTTGGATGTTGATACTTACTAAGATTAGTAAAAGGCTGAATTGAAGAAATTGGAGAAATTGTGAGTCCTACAGATCGTGAGTTACCGTGGACCTAATATTTGCATATTCAACAAATATTTGAGCACCTCCTCTGTGCAGGCACTTTGTTGCTGGGAATTCGGTTTTCTCATAGACATCTTAGGCAAGAATGGAAGGTAGTCATTAATCCATGGACAACACATAAAATTCTAATTGTGCTAACTGCTATAAAGGAATAGTTGTGTGAGAGAACTAGTCAGAGGATCAGGGAAGGTTTTCATGAGGAAACCTACTTTGAACTGAGATCTAAAGGGTAAGATTTATTGCCAGAGAGCTTTCAAGCAATGGGAATAACAGGTTCACTGGCTTTGTAGTAAAGAGAACATAATTGCTTGAAGCCAAGGCTGCTGACCTCAAAGACCAAAAAGAAGGTGGCACAAACCCAGGAAGGTCTGGCAGGCCATGTTAAGAAAAGCTCAGGATCATTGTGGAAAAGACATTATAGGGGACAAAGAATAAGTATGGGGAAACCATTTAAGGGGACTGTTGGGAGTTGCCCAGGTGAGAGATGATGGAGCTTGGAATACAATGGTGGTGGTAGAAATAGAATTTAAAGGGACAGGTTAAGATCTTTACGAGATGCAGTTTTTCATGATAAGTTACATATTTGGGGGGAAGGAGAGGATGCATGGAGTGAGAGGTGTCAAAGATGGCTGCTGAGTTCTGGCGTGGTACTGTGCCATTCACTAGAATGTTAAAGGAGACCAATTTTATGGGTGTGTGTGTGTGTGTGTGAGAGAGAGAGGGGGGGGAGAGGGAGAAGGAAAGGGAGGAACCCTGAATTTTTTTTTTTAATTTTTTTTTCAACATTTATTTATTTTTGG